ATTTCCTCGTCCACCCACCCAAAAGGCGGCAGCAGCATCGCGCTGCTATATGACGCTGCTCACAGTAGCAGCGTCACGCTGCTATCGCATCAGCTGTGCAGCACTGCTTTGTCGTAGCAGCATCGCTGCTGTGCGACACAGCGGCACTGCTGTGTCTGCTGCCAGTATTTTTGGTGGAGACGGGAGGAGGAAAAGGAGACTGGAGGAGGGAGAGGAGGAGGATGGAGGAGACATGGGAGGAGGGAAGGGAGACGGGAGGACAGAGGGGAGGAGGATGGAGGAGACGGGATGAGGTTTGGGAATTTTGTGAAATTTAGGGTGGGGGTGGGGGTATGTGTGGGTATATAAATTAATTTAATTGAAAATATCATTATCAATATTAATTGTGAAATTAAAACCTGATTTTTGATTAAATAAAATCTAAACCTGATTTTTAGAAAGTTGAAAGTAAACACCTGATTTAGTGTAATTACCTCATATGAGAAAGTATACTAAGGCAGTTACGGCCCATTAGATTCCAATACATGGGCCCGAAGAGTAGCCCTCTCCTCAAGTCTTTTTTTTTTTTTTTTGATATCCAGTTATCACACCTTACACCAGATTTTGTCCTGAACCATCCATCCCCGGTCCCTCAGTGATGGGTGGAGGTTAACCACCGGATATGCCCAAGTTGATCAGGGTCCGTGCACCCTTTATACTTTGACCCCAATGGAGCCTTTCTCCATGGATATTACATCACCAAACTCCTCTACCCAAATTGAGTGTTACAACACTCAACTACTCTATCTAGGAATCGAACTCCCCACCCTGTTGTTGTAAGCCCAGCAATGCTCATCCTTTGCCAACTCGAATGTGCCCCGGGGGGCGCCCTCTCAAGTCTTGCTACGAGATGACAGTGTTATAAGATGCTAATTGCCAAACATAACGGACGTGACATATCTCCGTAGTATGGTGATTCTAGGCAGGGCGAACGCAGACAATTAAAGTTAGGGGGCACAATCGAACTTGTAAAAAAGTTGAAAATTTTACATTTGAAAATTTACATTCAAAAAAATTATACTCCATGTAATTTTGCATCCGAAAATTTACATGGAATATGATTTTTTCGGATGTAAAATTTCAAAATTTTTTGATGTCACATCCTATATAAATTTCCTAATAA